TTGTTTACTGTCTTATTTATCCCAGAACTCCCTAGTTTACATTGTGCATTTCAGCCTTAACCAAGCCCTTCCCTCTCTGCCCTAAGAGTTGCAGGTCCAACTCCCCCTTATCTTCGCTGCTCTCCCTCTCCTGTACCTCATTCTTGCCCCTTATCTTCTCCACTCTCCACTCACCTTCACTTATCCCCTTCTTTCCTTCCTCTAGGGTCCTCTCCTTCATGAAACCTGTTCGCTAACCTTGCTTCCATGTGATTACATAGAATAACTCAGTAAATACGGAGTACCTTTTAAATCATACCCGTCAATCTTAACTCATTAATGCTTTCAGAACCCTAACAGGTATTAAATTGAAGTATTTTAAGAAGATTATAAATCCCTTTGCTAAGATAAAATTGGTAGAGAACAAAGAGGTTAAGAACTTGAAAAAACCCTTCATTAGAGTTTGGATACATTGGGAGATAGACATGTCATTTACAATGGTACAACCAAACGAATTTTTGGTTCCTACCATTACTTTTGAGAAATCCAAGGACCTCAGGTGTTTTCATACCATCATACAATATCACTTATTGAAGATGTTCTTTAGAATACAGATTTTTATATTATACGAAGTATATCCTATTGAAAAAATAGACTGAAAAAACAATTTTGGAAAAAGTAATTGTCTAAGAAGCTGTTCCGTTCACCTGATCTGAATGTTTCTGATCTGAATTTTTTAAGTTCTGATCTGATCTGATCTGAATATTTCTGATCTGATCTGATCTGATCTGAATCTTTCTGATCTGATCTGATCTGATCTGAATCTTTCTGATCTGATCTGAATCTTTCTGATCTGATCTGAATGTTGCTGAACTGATCTGAATGTTGCTGATCTGATCTGAATTCTTCTGATCTGAATCTTTCTAATCTGATCTGAATGTTTCTGATCTGATCTGAATTCTTCTGATCTGAATCTTTCTAATCTGATTTGAATATTTCTATAATTGTAATTATAATTATAATTATTAGATTTATAATTGTAATTAAAAATATAATTTAAATAAAATTACAATTATAATCATAATTATAAAAAATAATAATTAAAATTAAATTTAAAATTATAATAATTATACCAATTACACTAATTATAAATACAGATACAATTATAAATGTAATTATATTTTTAATTATGATTAATTTTATAATTATTATTGTAATTATAATTATAATATTTATTTCTATAATCATAATTATATCTATAATTACTAATTTAAATATATAATTAATCTGAAGTAATAATTATAATTACATTTTAAATCATAATTATAATTATAATTATAAATATATTATATTATATTATATTATATTATATTATATAATATAATATTATATTATATTATATTATATTATATTATATTATATTATATTATATTATATTATATTATATTATATTATATTATATTATATTATATTATATTATATTATATTATATTATATTATATTATATTATATTATATTATATTATATTATATTATATTATATTATATTATATTATATTATATTATATTATATTATATTATATTATATTATATTATATTATATTATATTATATTATATTATATTATATTATACTATATTATACTATATTATACTATATTATACTATATTATACTATATTATACTATATTATACTATATTATACTATATTATATTATATTATATTATATTATATTATATTATATTATATTATATTATATTATATTATATTATATTATATTATATTATATTATATTATATTATATTATATTATATTATATTATATTATATTATATTATATTATATTATATTATATTATATTATATTATATTATATTATATTATATTATATTATATTATATTATAATAATAATTTTATATTATTAACATTATTATTATATTATTATTAATAATATTATTATATTAATATATTAATATTATTAACAATAGATATAATATAATAATCATAATTAATATATTAATAAAAGTGATAAATCATGTTTGAATTTTTTGATCTCATCTGATCTGATCTGAATGTTTCTGATCTGATCTGAATGTTTCTGATCTGATCTGAATGTTTCTGATCTGGTCTGATCTGGTCTGAATCTTTCTGATCTGATCTGAATGTTGCTGATCTGATCTGAATCTTTCTGATCTGATCTGAATGTTTCTGATCTGATCTGATCTGATCTGAATCTTTCTGATCTGATCTGATCTGATCTGAATCTTTCTGATCTGATCTGATCTGATCTGAATAAAATAAGATTAAGGAATAAGTAATAAGATTAAGACGAACGGAACAGCTTCTAAGTTTTACGATGCCTTGAAGAGCAGAACATTATAACTTTTTCAATCCACATGTTAGCACTTGATCCATTATCTCTTCCTGTACTATATATAAAGGAGTTGAGTTTTCCTCTCACAAAAGAAAGTAAAGTTAGACACATACATTTATATGTCCTCTTCATATGAAATGAAAAGAAATACACACAGTTTCTGTTTGCACTTTTAGTTAGAAATACTGAAGTAACATCCCTGATCTGAATAATAAGTTAGAAAAATTAATACTCGGCGCCTTGCATGCGTCTTTAGATAGCTAGAGGAAGGTCCGTTCACTTATTTGGCATTATATATATAGTACCATTGAGAAAGAAGTCAACAAAAGCTATCTAGCACAATCATATTTGTGACAGACACTTGAAACATGGCAAGCACACTTGAAACTATGCAAGTACAAATGATTATTGTTAGTGTTTTTTTCTGTGATAAGCTCATAAGCACACAACTGATAGTATACATAGATTAACTAAATCACACAATGTGTAAATGTCTTTAACATATATAACCATTTAGAAAACAAACAAATAGTTATGAAAAACCGCAATAGTTTTGACAATTTTTGAAAAATGTAGCACACATGCAAAAAGTAACCCTTTTCAATCAAAGCAAATATTTGTCAATACAACAATGTAACAAATATAAATTTCAGTCACTTGTTTTTAACAAAATCATTCTAACACATTCTCAGTTGATATAAAAAGTACACATGACTAAAATCATACTTTGGAAATTAGCTTCCTTAGTAGAGGTACCAACACCGATGTTTTCTTCCTCAAATGCGTCCTTTTTTTTCATTTCAGTTCTCTGTGACCTGAACAAAGAAGGTAATATATATTAATTGGTTCCATGATGCCACTTCAACCAGAAAAAGGAGACATATGAAAAATTCAACCTTAGCCTGGAAAGATACATGTTTATAGAAATATATCTCAACCTTAGTTTATATGATAAAGTTGATCTTTATGCTAAACCTTCTAGTATTTTGTTCCCTTCTCTCTTAAAATGGTGCGTTATGAAACATAATTTTGGATGCCAGCCACCATAAATTCATTACTGAGCAGGTTATATATAGGCATATGCGGAGTGATCACCTTATCGGTCAAATAACTTAGACCTAAAGAAACTGTGAAATTATGGGAAAGAGGTACTCCAATAGAAGTCCTGACAGATATATTTATAATAGAGGAGTTGCCAAAATACAAAGTGTAGGTATCTTCCACCTTCTTTCTTGGAAGTTGCCAAGAGACACCTTAACATGGAGGCACCTTCTTGGAAAGAGCTCTCCAACAAATAGGTGTGGGAGAAGATATGGAGATACCTTGGAAGCTTGGATGCAACTTCCTCTTGTCTCCAAACTAGTCCTATAAATAGAGTGATCCATTGTTGTTCATAGTATCAGTTTAGAAAGTGAGAAAAGTGTGTGAAGAGTAAAAATACACTTAGAGTAGAAGTGTATTGGTGAGGATTGGTTTTTTGTAATAGTTGAGTGTGAGAGTTTGCTCCTCCTATTGTAATTCTGTTCTTGATATTGAATAGAAGAATTTTCCAATCCCAACAAGTGGTATCATAGCGAGGCTGAGTTTCCATACACTGTTTTCTCATTTCCAGATAAATTTCTACAGGTTAGAAAATTGTGATTTTTCAAGTTGCTCGGAATCACGATCTGATCATACCGTTAGATTCGTCTCGTCGAGACGAGAGATATGGTATTTTTTGGGAATTTTTTGGCCACCGGAAGAGGCCGTACGCGCCGCCCAAACGCCGCCTGAAAAATGCCTGCGTCATCGCTGCGTCATCAGGCTGTCCAGAGGAAGAAGACGACCAGTCAGCGCCACGTCACGCCATGTCATGCCCCGTCAGCTGACACGTCACCCCATCAGGCCGCCGATCCGTGCCACGTCATCGGCCACGTCGTCGCCACGTCAGCGACATGTGGCGCCACGTCAACGCCAACGCAGACCCAGCTGTTGCCACGTCATCCGCCTGCTGGTCTGCTCACTGGGCTGCTGCCTGAACCGGACCGAACCGGTTCGTACTTGTGGAGGCCGGTTCACCCATTTTCAGACCGGTTTTGGACGAGGTCAGACCTGTTCCTACCATTTTTGGCCATTCCGGATCCAACGGTGAGCTCCGTTTGTCCAAATTCGGCTCCGAAAATAAGGAACGAGATATTTTGAGCGTTTTATTATGGATAAATCATCATCAGACACCATGATTGCGCTCACTTCCACAAATTACAATATGTGGAAGCCTCGGATGGAGGATTTGCTAAATTTGAGGGATTTAGCTGATCCTCTTGATAATAATGGCGTGAAACCGGATAAAAAGACGGATGAAGAATGGACAAAAATGAATAGAAAAACTGTCGCACAAATTCGACAGTGGATAGATCATAGTGTGTTCCACCATGTTGCGCAAGAACAAAGTGCTTACACACTATGGGAGAAGCTTGGTAGCATGTATCAAGCAAAAACCGCCAGAAATAAGACGTTACTAATGAGAAGATTAGTAAACCACAAGTTACGAGGAGGTATTTCGGTCTCAGAACACACCAGTCAATTCCAGGATCTTGTGAATCAGTTGAGCACCACCGGATGGGTTCTCAAAGATGAAGAGCAGGCGATACTACTCTTGAGCTCTCTACCTGACAACTGGGAGACTCTTGTTGTCACTCTCAGCAATTCTGCTCCTAATGGTAAGGTGACTATGCAGATGGTCACAGATGCCCTTATGAATAAAGAAGCCCGAAGGAAGGAAGCCGGGACAGAACAATCATATGCCTTCGTGTCAGAAACCAACAGACGAGGGGGAGGCAGAAATGGAAGAAGAAGTAGAGGTCGAGGTAGAGGCCAAGGTCAAAACAGAGGAAATTCTCAAGTTCGCGGCCGATCACAAGAACGAGGTATGTCCCGTGAAAACAATACTTGGTTTGAAGGATATTACAACTACTGTGGTAATTATGGACATAGAAAAAGAGATTGTAGAAAGTTTCTACGAGAGCAGCCACAGACGAGTCAAAATACTAGCCAAGAAGATGGTGAGACTGTAACACCCCGGCCCCACCGGACCCGAGGTAGTTACTCCGGACCAATAGTACTGTCCTCACAAACCACCACGAGCCTTTACCGCGCACTTTGTCCTCACTCATGCGCGCCCTGAGAAACTTCCCAGGGGGTCACCCATCCCAAGATTACTCCCGTGCGAGCACGCTTAACTTTGGAGTTCTTGGATAATGAGCTCCCTTTAAAAGGAGATGCACCTCTGTTAGTATGAGTAGTACTATTAATCCGTTTATATTAAATCTCAAGTGTTACAATCACCCCCACTTAGGATCGCAACGTCCTCGTTGCGCCCTTGAACCAATCTCAAATCTCAATCAAATCCCAGAATCTTCCCCCACTAAGTGCCCGCCCGATATCTAACGGGTCATCACACTGTCGCAGGGTTGCTCTGATACCACTTGTAACACCCCGGCCCCACCGGACCTGAGGTAGTTACTCCGGACCAATAGTACTGTCCTCACAAACCACCACGAGCCTTTACCGCGCACTTTGTCCTCACTCATGCGCGCCCTGAGAAACTTCCCAGGGGGTCACCCATCCCAAGATTACTCCCGTGCGAGCACGCTTAACTTTGGAGTTCTTGGATAATGAGCTCCCTTTAAAAGGAGATGCACCTCTGTTAGTATGAGTAGTACTATTAATCCGTTATTACTATCAATCAACCAAGCCAATATCATTATTACTAATTCCATTCCAGATTTTATTAGTAATTTTGCAGATTATTATTATTATTAATATTATTATTATTATTACTACATGTTATTATTATTATTATTATTATTATTATTATTATTATTAGGAAGTTTCGGCCTATCAAAGGAAACAAAGTACCGGCCCAAACTAAACAACTGGCCCAACTTTTAGAACAAAGCAGTGTACTCTTCTTCTTCCTCGTGAACTAAACGGAACGAGATGCGCAGGGGAAAAGGGAGGTTACCTCGACGGATTCGTGATACGGTGGTGGTAGAAGACTCGTTTGGGGACGGCGAAGATCAGTGATGGGTTGGCGGCAGCGGCAGCTCCTCCGTCTTCTCCGTTTTCCGTTTTTACGGTTAGCCCGGCGGAACTCCGGCAAGCTCGTTCTCCGTCGTTTCACGATCGTTTTCGATGATTCTTTTTCCGTTGGACTCCTCTAAAGCAGGGGAAGATCTCAGAGGTGTTTTAGAGGCTCGGTTATGGCTAAAACGATGGGTTGAAATATGTGTACACACACACACACATATATATATATATACTATTATATATATATATACGTATTCATGTATATATATATGTTGATCGAGCTCAGCTCTATGTGAATGGAAAAGAAGATCGAGGGCTCTATTTATACTGATACGTAGAGGGTTTTAGGCTGCGACTTTAGTTAAACAGAAGATCCGATTTTTGCTGATGGAATTCAATCGGCTCTACCGCTCTACTCGTATAGTATGTAGAGTTGGGTTTACTACAGATTGTTCATTTTGTGTGAAACCGCGGCTGGATTCATTTTTAAGTTATATACAAGGATACGTAGTTTAAATTTTACTCCTTATCTATTTTAGTTTTTAAAGTTCAGTCAAAGTTCTCAAAGTGTATATACATTTGTACTGTACTCATTATTATGTGCATGTTTTTCGAATACATACTTCGTATAATTGATATATATATATAGGTTTTAACATTTCTTTTTATTTAACTAAATTAACTGATACTCGTATAAAAAAAATTCACTTCCATTATTGACCATTTTATCTAACTACAGTGTCAAAGTTTTAAATTTTATCTTATTCCCTTAATAAAATGCCACTCTTAAAGAATTTTATTCGATTAAAAAAAATCATTATTTTCTTTCATTAAAATTTTCGGAGTGTCACAGAGACCATGGTTAGTTTGTCATCAGACGTATGTCTTGTCACACATGGTGAACAAGAATGTTTACATGTAGGTACTCATGATGTTGAGTGGGTGATTGATACAGCCGCATCATTTCACGCCACTCCACACCAGAATTTATTCACATCTTATAAGTCTGGGGACTTTGGAGCTGTGAAGATGGGAAACACCAGTTTCTCAAAGATTGTTGGCATTGGTGATGTGCACATAACAACCAATGTCGGATGCGCACTTGTGTTGAAAGATGTTCGACATGTTCCGGATTTTAGATTGAATCTCATCTCCGGTACAGCTCTGGATCAAAAAGGATATCTTAACAGATTCAAAGAAGGTACTTGGATGTTATCTAAAGGTTCCTTGGTTGTTGCAAGAGTCCATATTTGTGGTACTCTTTATAAAACTCATGCAAAGTTGTGTCAGCCGAGTCTCAATGCTGTTGAAGAAGAGATATCACCAAACTTGTGGCACCGGAGGCTAGGCCGCTTGAGCGTGAAGGGATTGACAACTCTTGCAAAGAAGGAAGTCATTTCCATGGGCAAAGGTGTTGCCCTAGATCCATGCGAACACTGTCTATTCGGGAAACAACACAGGGTTTCCTTCAGTTCTACCAGAAAGAACCATTCAGAGTTACTCAGTCTTGTACACTCTGATGTATGCGGACCCATTGAAGAGGAGTCACTTGGAGGAAGCAGATATTTCGGCATTCATTGATGATGCATCACGAAAGGTATGGGCTTATTGTTTGAAGAGTAAGGATCAAGTGTTTGATCGCTTCAAATTATTTCATGCCATGGTAGAAAGAGAAACAGGGAAGAAGCTGAAGTGCCTGCGTTCAGACAATGGAGGAGAGTACACTTCTCGAGAGTTCTTAGCATATTGCGCCGCATATGGAATCAGACATGAGAAGACGGTTCCACGAACTCCGCAACACAATGGTGTAGCCGAAAGAATGAATCGGACCATTATGGAGAAAGTTCGTTGCATGCTGAGTATGGCTAAACTACCTAAGCCATTCTGGGGTGAAGCTGTGCTGATAGCTTGTTATCTTATAAACAGGTCACCTTCTGTTCCTTTAAACTTTGAAGTGCCATAAAAGAAATGGTCAAGAAGAGATGTTTCTTACTCTCACTTGAAAGTGTTCGGGTGCAAGGCATTTGCACATGTGTCTAAGGAGTTGAGACAGAAGCTTGATCTCAAGTCAAACCCATGCATCTTCATCGGGTATGGTGATGAAGAATTTGGATACCGGTTGTGGGATCCCGAATTGAAGAAAGTTGTACGAAGCAGAGATGTTGTATTTCATGAAAACGAGTTTCATGGGTGTGTTCCAATAATCCGCCAACAACATACTCCAGAAGACGAAGTGCCTGTATCATCAAACATTCCTCTCAGCGACGAGGAGATGCATGATACTACTGAACAAGAGAGTGATGGTTCAGTAGGTGATGATGATACTCACAGTGATGATATTCCTCAGCAGGGGGATCCTTCATCTGAAGACGAAGCTGAAGGTACTCATGTTCGACGTTCTATGCAAGGCATAGTTCCACAGAGAAAGTATTCCACATCCGAATGGATACTTGTTGCCAGCGAGGGGGAGCCAACGAGCATCGCAGGAACGAGAGAAATAAAGAAAAAGGTGGAGGGGGAGATTTGTAGGTATCTTCCACCTTCTTTCTTGGAAGTTGCCAAGAGACACCTTAACATGGAGGCACCTTCTTGGAAAGAGCTCTCCAACAAATAGGTGTGGGAGAAGATATGGAGATACCTTGGAAGCTCTGATGCAACTTCCTCTTGTCTCCAAACTAGTCCTATAAATAGAGTGATCCATTGTTGTTCATAGTATCAGTTTAGAAAGTGAGAAAAGTGTGTGAAGAGTAAAAATACACTTAGAGTAGAAGTGTATTGGTGAGGATTGGTTTTTTGTAATAGTTGAGTGTGAGAGTTTGCTCCTCCTATTGTAATTCTGTTCTTGATATTGAATAGAAGAATTTTCCAATCCCAACACAAAGTATTCCTAAATAGATATTAGGCAGATTCCTTAATATATATTAGGCAGATTCCTAAATATATTAGTCTATTACTCCCCCTCAAACTGTGCGGGAGATACAACGCGCAGGTTGTCCTTTAAAAAATGAAATTGCAAACTAAAAAAAAACTCTTAGTAAATATATTCGTGAGCGGAAGATTAGAAGACACATATTTGATAATATGACCTCCATGAGAATATATGTCTGCAGCAGCAAGCGGCGAACTCAACAGCGCGCTTGAAGCAAGCACCGTGGTCAGCGACACAGAGAAGGTGGGCTACGCGGACATAGGCAGCAGCAGGCGGTGAACTCAACGGCACGCTAGAAGCAAGCACCGTGTTCAGCGACGCGAAGGAGGTGATCTGCGCCATATTAGCCACGCTCATCTTCAAAGGATCAGAGACTACCGTAAATGTGGCGGTAGTCGACCCCGAGGCGGCGGCTATAATAAGGTTCATGGGAACCGAAAAAAAGAAAAAAAAAACTGTATCTACAAACCTAGAGCTCTTGATACCATGTGAAATAATGGGAAAGGGGTACTCCAATAGGAGTCCTGACAGATATATTTATAATAGAGGAGTTGCCAAAATACAAAGTATTCCTAAATAGATATTAGGTAGATTCCTAAATATATATTAGGCAGATTCCTAAATATATATTAATACTCACTTGCTCAATGTATAAGTACTCACTTGCTTAAAATGCTCAGATTAGGTAAGAAAAAAAAAACAGGTAAAGTTTTTTCAGAAAATGGTGAGCAATATGATATTTAGAACTGCATTAAGTAGAGTATAATATGAAACTAAGTGGTGAGATTTAATTGTCCATAATACAAAACCACCATTTAAAACATCTTAAAGTATATGAGATTTAATTGTCCATAATACAAAACCACCATTTAAAATATCTTAAAGTATATTTCCAAATAATCAAATGACTAACATTTTTCATGTTTATTGTTCATTTAGCAACTCAATAAAAAAGAAAACGAAGAAAATTATACCTACCACAGTTTGGTTGCTTGTCTGCCAATGAATATAACACGGATTATTTAATTTCCCACCTTTAGTCACCTGCTATTGTTTATATCTAAATGTTTAAACAATATATTAAAAACACCCTTTTTACTTCAACAAAATCTAGTCATAGCAGAAAAAAATACAACAAACAATCTTATAATAGAGCAAATTCATCATTCAAACAAATGCTAAGAAATCTTATACTACCTCCGTTCTTAAATAAATGTAACATATGAAATTTTACACTATTCACATGTTCTACTTTGACTGCGTTTTATTTATTAATGTATTAATATTATTTTCTGAAAAAATATTGTAAAATTTGTCTCATTGTAAATCTTCAAAATCTATTTTTTTAATTTTTTACTAATACAAAATTATATATATTAATGGTCAAAATTGTGTCTCGGCAAGTGTAAAATGTTGACTGTTGCATTTATTTAAGAATGGAGAAAGTATATAAACTGCTATATGATTATACCTACATGTTTTACATACATATTGAGAAGATCTCCTCTACTTTAACAAAAGTTAGTGATAGATGAAAATAAATTATAGAACCACCTTAACTTCTATGCTCCCAAGATTTCAACAATTAGACAAACAAATATTAATTTTTCAATATGAAACCAACAGTGTCAAAGAAATTTGTTGAAGAAGTTGCTGCTTCATTTTGGCCCAGCTCCATTGTGGCATCAAACGGGGGTCCACAATACTAATAAAATAGGTTACCAAGAGTATTCGTTCTGGATTGCATATTTATATTACTTGAATCAATCCAAACAAAATTTATTTGAAAAGACTTAAAAATTAATTTTTTTGATTAAAAACCAAAACTGGATGTGTGAAATAATATGTCCAAAAAGATAATATATTCGGAAAACCTCTAAGTTACATCGCACATCGTCAAACCTGTAATCCAGTTTAGCACACGCTCTCCATTTGAAATTGAGAGAAGTGTGAGACACATCTTCAGGCCGCTGAGGTGAATCTCGCTGAAACAATTAAAAGCATTAATTGAGCTCTTCATGGACATTATTACAAACACATAGCTATCAAACATATCAACATTAGGATGCCGTTTGGTAGCACAGAAATTGACTGATTTGGCTGATTCTGCTGAAATTTATGAAGTGCTGGCTTAAGTGGCTGCATTTGCTGATTCTGCTAATTTAAGAAAAAATTGTTTTAAAATATAGTTTATTAATAAAATTAAAAAAAAATATATATGTAAAAATAGATAAAATGGTCCTTTAACTTCAGCCAATACAGCCAATAAAATGGTCCTATAAGCCTTATAAGCGGAAAAACTGTGTTGCCAAACGGCTCCTAAGTTTGAAGATGAGATTAACCTATAACTAAGGATGATTTTTGTAATACTGAGTATATACTAAAAAAACTACAGTTTTGCCTAGTACGAAGTATATTCTAGCCGTACCTTGACACCAAAATCCAGGAGGGAAACTTTATCCGTCTTCTTCTTTCTTTCGCAAGCCGCAAAACCAGAGCCTAGAGACGTAAAGGTTGCCTGTCCTCCACTCGCCTCGCAAGCTGCCTCGACTCACCTTGCCGGTTTCCCCTTCACGGCTCCGCCGCATT